AACGACTGAGCCACCCAGGCGCCCCTTACTTGTTTTTTTCTAATAGTGACATTTCTGTCTTTATTCTCTGAGTAGAATGATACTGCTGATCAGTCCTTGCTTAGATTTCTTCTTACCAGGCTTTCCTCAACTTTCGTTGGGTTCTCTCTCTCTTTTTTTTTTTTCTTTTGTTTTCTCTGGCTCCTCTTCCTTTGTCCGGCTTTTTTTTTTTAAGATTTTATTTATTTTAGAGAAGGGGAGGGGGAGGAGCAGAGGGAGAGGGACAAGCAGACTCCACAGTGAGTGCAGAGAATAATGCGGGGCTCCATCCCACGACTCTGAGATCATGACCTGAGCTGAAATCAAAAGTCAGACCCTCAACTGCTTTGTCCAGTTTCTAAGTAACATGTCTCAGCATTCTGATGAGACAACTCTTTTGTCTCAGTTTATATGTCTTAAGGTTTTAAAGACGCTCTGATTTATATTTTACTCTTTTTTTATTGTTATGTTAATCCCCATACATTACATCATTAGTTTTAGATATAGTGTTCCATGATTCATTGTTTGTGCATAACACCCAGTGCTCCATGCAGAACGTGCCCTCCTCAATACCCATCACCAGGCTAACCCATCCTCCCACCCTATTTTACTCTTAACCAGTCAGCCTGTATTTTAAATTTCTGACTTGATATTTTTAAATCAGAGTTTCTCTTGAATACACTCTATTTAAGCCAAACATCTCAAGTCTTTTATTTCTGCTCCATTTTGTTCAATCACACCGTTACCTTGGTACATCAAACTAGAAACGAGAGTCGTCTTTAGCTGAGTCTCTTTCCTTCATTATATTTCTATTTTCCATTTCTTCCATGTCATAAAGACCGTGTCCTATCAGATTTTACCTCTTTGGATTTCAGACTTGCCTTTTGTTTTCTATGCTGCTGTCACTGCCACGGTTTTTGTTCTCAGCTTCTCCTGGATTTACTTTCATAATATTATAAATTTACAGTTCCTCCTTGGAATGTAATTTGAGTCCTCTTTTCTGGATAGTTACTCTGCCCTCAGTGTCTTTTTTTTTTTTTTTTTTTAAGCGTTTCTTAAGGAGTGGTATTATCATCTTTATATGTCTCTTTCAACAGACAGTAAAGTTCTGAGAGGAGGGCTTACATTTGATTCCTCTTTGTGTGATTGATTCCTGGCATGCTTCATGGCTTCATGAGTGTTTACTGAAGGGCTGAGCCAGGGTTCTGCTGGACATCAGGCCAAGACCCAGCTAGAAGGGCTAGGCTGGGGCTCAGTGCCCTCGTTCTCCTGTCAGCGTCCTGCTTATTTACTTTTAGGTTTTGCGGCCTTTTTTGCTGCGCCGAGTTAAGGTGGATGTTGAGAAGCAGATGCCTAAAAAATATGAGCACGTTATCCGCTGCCGGCTCTCCAAGCGTCAGCGCTGTCTCTATGATGACTTCATGGCACAGACCACGTAAGGGAGGACTGAGGGTGGGTCTTGGGGCCCTATATTGGAACAGATGTGATTGTCAGGATGCCCCATTTATTTTTCCTCTCTCCCAGAACTAAGGAGACACTAGCCACAGGCCATTTCATGAGTGTCATCAACATCTTGATGCAGCTGCGAAAAGTCTGCAATCATCCAAACCTATTTGACCCTCGACCTGTTACCTCCCCCTTCATCACCCCAGGAATTTGCTTCAGCACCGCCTCTCTGGTGCTAAGGGCCACTGATGTCCACCCCCTCCAGGTAAGTTGTTCCCAAGGTTATTGGCCCTACCCCCAACCCTGCATCCTTTTCTTTAGGCGGGAGTCCGACCTTTTGCATCCTTCCCTACTTGTAAGCTGAGCACTGTTCCCCTAGTTTCATCGTTTTCTAGCTGTGTGCCTTAGGGCAAGGTAATTATTAATTGATCTCTAATCCTAAGTTTGCTTGCCCTTGAAAGTAGGGATTATAAAGGCCATATGATCTGCGGTATGTTTGTGAAAATTGTGTTAATATTTTTGAAAGTGCTTGGCATGTTAGTGATACTTAAATATTATTTTGTTTTCCTGTTCCTTCTCTCTTTTTGACCACTTTTCCCCCCAAAACTTTTGGTTTTGTTGTGGTAAAATACACAAACTTTACCATTTTAACTGTTTTTAAGCATATGTTTTAGTGGCATGGGTACATTCACATTGTTGTGTGACCACCGCCACCATCCATCTTCAAAACTTTTTTCATCTTTCCAAATTGAAACGCCATGCACACTAAATGATAACTCCTCATTCTCCCCTTTCCCCCAGCCCTTGGCAGCCACCATTCTAATCTTTGTCTGAGTATTCTGGGTACTCATTATAAATAGGATCATATGGTATTTGTCCTTTTGTGACTGGCCTGTTTCACTCAGCAGATTGTTTTCCAGGTTCATCTTGTAGCATGTGCCAGAATTTCCTTCCTTGTTAAGTTTGAGTGTTGCTGCTTTATATCTGTGTCTATATATCCATATATATCTACACTTATACATGTGTATATACTGCATTTTGTTCATCTGTGTACCCATCAACGGACACTTTGGGTTATTTTCACCTTCTGGCTATTATAAATAATGCTACAACAAACATGGATGTACAAATACCAGTTTGAGTCCCTGCTTTCAATTCTTATGGGTACATACCCGGACACAGAATTGCTGGATCATATGGTAGTTTTATTTTTAATTTTTTGAGGAACCGCCGTAGTATTTTCCATAGTGGCTGCTCCATTTCACATTGCCACAAGCAGTGCACAAGGGTTCTGATTTCTCCACATCATTGCTAGCATCTGGTATTTTCTGTTTTATTATAATAGCCGTCTTAACAGGTGTGAGATGGCGGTACCTTGTGATTGTGATTTGCATTTCCCTAATGATTAGTGATGTAGAGCATCTTTTCATGGGCTTATCGTATATTTCCTTGGGAGAAATATCTATTTGATATATTTGCCTGATTTTTTAATTGGGTAGTTTTGTTGTTGAGTTGTAGGAGTTCTTCATATGTTCTGGATATTAACCTCTTATCAGATACATGGTTTGCAAATATTTTGTCCCATTCTGTGACTTGTCTTTTCACTTTGTTGGTAGTATCTTTTCATGCAGTCCAATGATCAGTTTTTTCCTTTTGTTGCCTGTGCTATTGGTGTCCTAGCCAAGAAATCATTGCTATATTGGTCCCTTTGACACCATGCTTTTGTGTTCCTTCTTGTACCAGCGGATAGACATGGGTCGGTTTGATCTTATTGGCCTGGAGGGTCGTGTGTCTAGATATGAGGCTGACACATTTCTACCCCGGCACCGCCTGTCCCGCCGGGTACTGCTAGAGGTGGCTACTGCTCCTGACCCCCCACCCCGGCCCAAACCAGTCAAGATGAAGGTCAACAGGTACCTGGGCTGAGGGGTAAAGGGATGGGTTCCTAGAAAAGGTGGCTACAGCTGGCTGGGAGCAGAAATTGGGGTGGAAAGGAGAGAGTTGGAGGCTAGGCTAGAATGTTTATATGGGATGGATGCAAAGTACTGGTGGAATTGGGGGAGAGAAGAGGGTCCTGGGAGGGCCCCTTGTGTTTGTCACTGATTTGTTTTCCCCTTTTTCTGCTTGGTGCTTTTCGGTTATCTTGGATTTCTTTTCCTCTTTCTCCTTTGGGTCCTTTTCCTTTACCCCCTTCGTTTTTGTTAATCTTTGTCTTATGTTTCTGCTTCATCTTCCTTATTCCTTTCTTTTCCTATTCCTTATTCTCCTTTCCTCCCTACCCACCCTTTTGTTTTTGTCCTTATAGGATGCTGCAGCCAGTGCCCAAGCAGGAAGGTCGTACAGTAGTGGTGGTGAACAACCCACGGACCCCCATGGGCCCTGTCCCGGTCCGACCCCCTCCAGGCCCTGAGCTCTCCACCCAGCCCACCCCTGGCCCAACCCCCCCAGTGCTGCCAGCACCACTGATGGTGTCGGCCTCGCCTGTTGGGCCCCCGCTGGTTCCAGCGTCCCGGCCTCCTGGCCCTGTTCTGTTGCCCCCACTGCAGCCAAACAGTGGGCCTCTGCCCCAGGGTGAGTTACAAGGGGACCAGCTTGCTTGGGGGTTACCTCAGGCAGATTGTTCAGATTGGGGAAGAAGTAATGAAATCAGAGTGTTGAGGGAGCTAAGGTGGAGACAGAGGTGTGGTGTTTGATGGGTTGGGAGGGTGTATGGAGATTTCTGGGAGCAGGCTAAGGCTCTAGTCAGGGTATATCTGACAGATGCTTGCTTTGTGTCTACAGTGTTGCCATCCCCCCTGGGGGTCCTTAGTGGGACTTCACGGCCTCCTACGCCAACCCTGTCCCTGAAACCGGCCCCACCTGCTCCTGTTCGCCTGAGCCCTGCCCCGCCTCCAGGCTCCTCCAGCCTGTTGAAGCCCCTGACAGTGCCACCAGGCTACACTTTCCCTTCTGCTGCCACCACCACCTCTACCACCACAGCCACTGCTCCCACCACGGCAGTGCCAGCTTCTACTCCTGCACCACAGCGCCTCATCTTGTCTCCTGATATGCAGGCTCGCCTGCCCTGTAAGTTCTCAGGTGTCTGTGAAGGAAGGCTTTGAGATGGGAGGAAGGTTTATATGCTACAGGGCTGGAGAAAAGCTCGGCAATGTGAAAGCATAAAATTCTGGGTAGTTAATGTATGTGACGTATTTTGGCATATGCTGGAAATTCATAATCGAGAGCTGTCAGTGAGTTCTCGGGCTAGTGGGGAAGATGACCCAGAGATGAGTAAACAGTGGTAAACCTAGTAGTAGGAAGTTATTTGGGGCAAAGGGCAGCATGGAGTTGGGGGTGGTGATTAGCTCAGTACGGTGGCAGGCCATTAGAAGATATAAAGGAGATTGCTAGGCAAACAAGTGGGATTGGAAGTAGCACATCAAAGGCTCAGAGGCTGAGTTTGTTAGAATATGGTAAATTGAGGGGGGGAGGGTTGGAGGAACTGGAGACCTGTGCTTCGTGGGGCGAAGGGGCCTTAGAGTCATCCCTGTGTACATTCAGCCCCTTCTTTGTTCCTAGCAGGCGAAGTGGTCAGCATCGGGCAGTTGGCCTCACTGGCACAACGTCCAGTGGCCAGCGCAGGGGGAAGCAAACCTCTCACCTTCCAGATCCAGGGCAACAAGCTGACTTTGACTGGTGCGCAGGTGCGCCAGCTTGCTGTGGGGCAGCCCCGCCCGCTGCAAAGTAGGTAAAACCCACCCCCTGTCCTGCCTTTTTTCTCCTCTTCCTTGTCTGTTTTTGTTGCTCTTTTCAGACCCAGTCTTTATGTTTCTTTCCCTAGCTTTTGGTGGGTGGGGCCAAAGGGAATCTTTGGAGGGGGTCTTTTGGAAAAGATAGGGATAAGGTCATTCTAGAGAAGTTATTCCCTCTCTGTTCTTTCCTTTTCCTCTTGCCCTTGCCTCTGTCCTCCTCCGGCTGATAGCTGCTTCTCTTTCTCTCTCTCTTCCCTTAACCCAGGGAATGTGGTGCACCTGGTGTCAGCAGGGGGGCAGCACCACCTCATCAGCCAGCCTGCCCATGTGGCTCTCATCCAGGCCGTGGCCCCGACCCCTGGCCCCACCCCTGTCTCTGTGCTGCCTTCTTCGACCCCCAGCACCACCCTTGCCCCCACTGGCCTCAGCCTTCCGCTTGCTGCTAACCAGGGTGAGGCTCCTGGCCTTCCTACTTACTTAGCCCTTGCTGGCCTTGGTCCCTTTAGGCATGCCCTGGGCTACTGTCTGTCCGGCCTTCCCTCAGTGTTGTTTTCCCTTGCCAGTATCTTCAATATCTGTCTGCTGCCCTCTCCTGCCCCTGGACTGTTTCCATCCTTTGGGTCTCTTGTCTCTTTTCTACCTTTTCCTCAATGTAGCTTCCTCTTGCAGTGCCACCAACCATGGTGAATAATACAGGCGTGGTGAAGATTGTAGTGAGACAGGCCCCTCGGGATGGACTGACTCCTGTTCCTCCGTTGGCCCCAGCACCCCGGCCTCCGAGTTCTGGGCTTCCAGCTGTGTTGACTCCACGCCCCACATTAACCCCTGGCCGGCTACCCACACCTCCTCTGGGTACTGCCCGGTCCCCCATCCCCACGTCCACTCTGGTGAGGCCCCTTCTCAAGCTGGTCCACAGTTCTTCGCCCGAAGTCAGTGGTGAGTCCAGGTGGCTAAGAGCAGATGTTTTTGCCAGGAATGGACATAGGGTGGTCCGGAGGATTTCTTAGTCACAATAGATTTCTAGTTTATCAGCATACTGACTCGGTTTGTAGTGGGCCCCAGAACTAGGGTGCTGAGGTCTTGCCTTATTTTAGAGTATACTTCTTAGAATCTTGGAGGGAAAGGAAATGTTAAGTTGTCAGAGTCCTTGAATCTTTGACGTCATGGGGTGGGAGTGAAGGTTTTCTGGGAAAGGGATGAAGCGTGGGGGGAAGGGGAAGGGTGGGACAGGGTAATAGAGCAAGAAAAGAATTCTGGGGCTAACTCATCCTCTGTCTCCACAGCTTCAGCACCCGGAGCTGCTCCCCTGACCATCTCTTCTCCTCTCCCTGTGCAGCCCTCACTCCCTGGGCCAGCCTCTTCTCCAGTGCCAGTTCCCAATTCCTCCCCCCTTGCTAGTCCTGTGTCCTCTACAGTCTCCGTTCCAGTGTCATCTTCACTTCCCATCTCTGTCTCCACCACGCCTCCTGCCCCAGCCTCAGCTCCACTCACCATCCCCATCTCAGCCCCCTTGCCTGTTTCGGCTTCTGGCCCAGCTCTGTTGACCAATGTGACTCCAGCACTGGCTCCTGTTGTCTCAGCGGCTCCTGGACCTCCCTCTTTGGCACCAGCTGGGGCTTCCCCGTCACCGTCAGCTTTGACTCTAGGTTTGGCCACAGCTCCACCCCTGTCTTCATCTCAGGCACCTGGTCACCCTCTGTTGTTGGCTCCAGCCTCTTCACATGTTCCAGGCTTGAACTCAGCTGTGGCCCCAACATGTTCACCTGTCCTGGTACCAGCTTCTGCTCTGGCCAGTCCTTTTCCGGCAGCACCAAATCCAGCTCCAGCTCAGGCTTCCCTTCTGGCTCCAGCACCTTCTGCATCTCAGGCTCTAGCCACTTCTTTGGCTCCCATGGTGGCTCCACAGACAGCAATTCTGGCTCCTTCTCCAGCTCCTTCTCTGGCTCCTCTTCCAGTCCTGGCTCCATCGCCAGGTCCTGCTCCCCTCCTGGCTCCATCGCAGACTCCAGTTCCAGTTCTGGCTTCTTCATCTACTCCAGGAACCTCTTTAGCTTCAGCTTCTTCACTGGTGCCAGCCCCAACTCCTCTTTTGGCTCCATCATCAACTCAGACCATGGTACCAGCCCCGGTTCCATCACCTCTCCCAAGCCCGGCTTCTGCGCAGACACTGGCCTTAGCCCCAGCTTTAGCATCCACTCTTGGTGGTTCATCTCCATCTCAGACCCTCTCTTTGGGAACGGGGAACCCTCAGGGGCCTTTTCCAGCTCAGACATTGTCATTGACTCCAGCGTCATCCCTAGTACCAGCTCCAGCCCAGACATTGTCTTTGGCGCCGGGACCACCACTGGGTCCATCGCAGACGCTGTCTCTGGCTCCAGCATCCTCTTTGACTCCAGCTTCTCCGATGGGCCCAGCCCCAGCTCACACGCTGACTTTGGCTCCAGTATCGTCATCTGCTTCACTCCTGACCCCAGCTTCAGTGCAAACGTTGACCTTGAGCCCTGCCCCAGTTCCGGTGTCCACCTTGGGTCCAGCTGCAGCCCAGACTCTGGCACTGGCCCCGGTCTCAACACAGGCTTCCGCTTCCCAGACATCCTCCCTTATGGTTTCGGCATCTGGCGCTGCTCCCTTGCCTGTCACCATGGTATCCCGGCTGCCTGTTTCCAAGGATGAGCCTGAGACGCTGACATTACGCCCCGGTCCCCCCAGTCCTCCATCCACTGCTACCTCGTTCAGTGGTCCCCGGCCTCGACGCCAGCCCCCACCACCACCTCGTTCCCCTTTCTATCTGGTAAGTTTTCCTCCCTCAGAGAGAGAGAACAGAAAGTTGGGTTTCTTTGGAGTGTTGGTAGAGTGGATGGAACAGAACGATGTTATTTTTATCTTGGTAAATTACAAAGCCTAGTTTTGTGGACCTGATACTTGAGTGTGCAGTTGGACAAGTCCCTTCTCTTCCCTGGCCCTGTTCTCTTATCTGTATAATGGGAATAGTAATCTATATTCTGCCTTTCTCAGAGGAGTAATTGAGGATCTAACGTGCTTTTAAACTATGAAGAATTACTGATATGTTCAAGGCTGCCTTGTTACTGTTGGTCTTTTTGGTATTTGATTATTCTCGAGTCAGTGTTGGCATCTAATTGCCTCATTTTACGGATGAAGAAACTAGTCCGCTAAATGATGTTATAAAGGTGACACAACTTGTGAGAACTCAAATGCGTTGACTCCATTGCTTTCTCCTCTTCCACACAAGAGGTATTCCTCAGAGATAGGAAGACTTTTCTCAGTTGCTAAAACCATCACAGTTGTCAAGTATTTGAACTTCTGAGGGGGGGTGACAACATAGAATACAGTTCCCTAAAGATCACGAGCCGCTGACTAATGGTTATCTCTTGTAGGCTTTTTTTTTTTTTTTTTTTTTACCTCCACGGTGATTAAGCGGGCAATAAAAAGAACTATGTTTCTTGTCCTTCCATGAACTTTGTGGTAGCCATTTTTTTTATTTTACATGTAAGGCTGCATATATGTTTGGTTAAGTTAAACTTAGAGCTGAAATTAAATAATCCGGGAGGTAATAGGAAGAAAGATTGAGTGACTTGTTCCAGGACCTCTGTCTTTTTCTCCCTTTAACATAAAGGGAGCTGCTTCTTGCTCAGAGCTGCTGCTTATTTTTTGCCTCAGCCCCAGGCGCCCACTCCAGCAGTGCCATTAACTCCACCTTTGGTCTTTTTCTAATGCTACCAGGTTGGTCTGGCTTGTTGAAAGTAGAAGAGAACTAGATCCTAGCCCAAGAGTGGCAACTCCATGGTCTGTGCTAAATTTTGGTTGCTTTGCAAGTATGTAGAAGCATCTTAACACTTTTTTTCTTGAAACAGTTTGACATAAAGATCACATACCATACAGCTTACCCATGTAAAATGTATGATTTAGTGGCTTTTAGTATATTCACATAGGTTGCAACCATCACTGTAAGTTTCTTTAAAACATTTTCATGGTCCTGAAAAGAAACCCCACACACCCTTAGCCATCATATTCCAACCCTTCCATCTCTTCTAACTTTAGGCAAGCACTAATCTTTGTCTCTTTAGATTTGCCCATGGAGTCATACAGTATTTGGTCTTTTGTGACTGGCTCTCTTCATTTCATTTTCATTTTTTTCATGTTTTGAGGTTCATCCACATTGTAGCATATGTTGGAATTTTTTTTATTGTTGATTAACATTCCATTGTGTGGATATACATTTTATGTATCTGTTCATCAGTAGATGGACACGTTTGGAATATTTCTCCTTTTTGGCTGTTATGAATAATGCTGCTATGAACATTCACTTGTAAGATTTTGTGTCTTCATATGTTTCCAGTTACATTGGATGTATGCCTAGGAGCAGAATTACTCAGTCAGAAAGTAGCTATGTTTAACTGTTTGAAGAACTATCAGACTGTTTTCCAAAGTGGCTATACCGTTTTATATTCCCACCAGCAGCACATCAGGGTTCTAGGTTCTCCACATCTTTGCCAACACTTGCTATTGTCTTTCTGATTATAGCTATCCTAGTGGGTGTGAAGTGGTATCTTGTGGTTTTGATTTGTGTTTTCCTAATGGCCAGTGATGTTGAGCATCTTTTCAGTGGTTGACCGTTTGTGTATCTTCTTTGAAGAAATGTTAGATATTCAGATCCTTTGTGTTTTTAATTTATTTTTTTAAATTTATTTTCAGAATTTTTTTTATTTTAAGTAAATTCTACGCCCACCCTGGGGCTTGAATTCACAACCCTGAGATCAAGATCAAGACCATGCTCTACCAACTGAGCCAGCCAGGCACCCCTACCCTTTTTAATTGGGTTATTTTCCTGCTTTGAAAGAGTTCTTTATATATTGTGGATACAAATACCTTTTCAGATACATGATTTGCAAATATTTTCTCCTTTGCTACTACTTTTGAGAGCTGGCCTGTTCTGCTAGGATGCTTTCCTTTTTTACCTTGATCACCAGGAGCTTAAGAGGTCAAGTTTAAGGGAGCAGTCAGGAAGGTAGATTTGGGACATTGCTTTTTTTCAGGACCATCTCCTAGGGTCCATTTCCTTCGTTTGTTCATTCTAATAGCAGCTATTTATTGAGAGCCTACTTGGTGCCAGATAACTGAGCTACATAGTGGGTGGTTATAGTGAGCAAGATCAGATCCGGTTCGTGTTATGGTTAGTTTCGTGGATAGAAGACATTAGTTAAAGACTCATACAGATGTAAAAGTACCAATCTGGTAAGTGCTGCAAAAAAAGAGGTAGTTTTATAGCCTGTGAAACCTGAAGTGCTAGTGATGGGAAAAGACTGGGTCAAAGTCCTACAGATTCCCTATCTGCCCCTTTTCTCTCTCAGGGTGATGAAATCTAGATGTCTGATTAGCTTTTCCCATCCTAGTTTGGCCCTTGGCAGAAACCTGCCATGGATTTGATTAGCCACTCTGTCCTGCTCAGTGGTTGGAGGAGGGTTTTTAATAATTGTTTTGGATCCACTTCAAGAAGGCAAATTAACTTGAATGTTGTGGAGTAAGTGTTAAGAAAATTCCCAGAAATCATTTATTTTATAGATTTATTAGATACACAGATCTTAAATTTGAATATTCAGGCATTCTGTTTTGGTAGCATACAAAGGAAGATCAGTTTTTTTTGCAGAGAAGTTATTTCATACAACATTTGAAAGGAGTAATTCTCATTATTGACAACTTGAAAACCACTAAAAGTGTAATGTAGTTTTGAATCCTGTGGTTTCTATAGGTTATGTTTAATTCTGGGATGAATGGTCAGGTTTTCTATGAGGACACTGATTACTTTTTCTGTGTTTTTGTTTTTGTTTTTCTTTCATCCCCAGGACTCTCTGGAGGAAAAGCGGAAGCGGCAGCGGTCTGAACGCCTGGAACGGATTTTCCAACTTAGTGAGGCTCATGGGGCCCTGGCACCTGTGTATGGGACTGAAGTCCTGGATTTCTGTACCCTGCCCCAACCTGTTGCCAGCCCCATCGGCCCTCGTTCTCCTGGCCCCAGCCACCCCACCTTTTGGACTTATACCGAGGCTGCCCGCCAGGCTGTACTGTTTCCCCAGCAACGACTAGACCAGCTGTCAGAAATCATTGAGAGGTTGGCAGAAGCGGGTCTTGGGGCCTCTGAGTGGATGTAGTGGTTAGGGCTGGTGAAGGTGCACTTTTGGGGCCTTTCAGAATTCCATCTTTTATACTGCTTGCCTTCTTCCTTCACAGGTTCATCTTTGTCATGCCTCCTGTGGAGGCACCTCCCCCTTCCCTGCATGCCTGCCACCCACCTCCTTGGCTGGCCCCACGTCAGGCAGCCTTCCAGGAGCAGTTGGCCTGTGAGCTCTGGCCCCGGGCTCGTCCTTTGCACCGTATTGTGTGTAATATGCGCACCCAGTTCCCTGACTTGAGGCTCATCCAGTATGATTGTGGTAAGTTCATTGATCAGTGGGGATCCCTTGACTTTTTTTTTTCCTCTGTTAGTAGCACTATATCAAAGGGATGCTATATATAGATTTTTGTGAATTTCGTTAAACATTAGACAGTTTTTCAGGCTATGCTTATAGGCAAGATGGAGAAGTGTAGGCCTTATGGATTCTTGGCATTCATGAATTTGACTTTGATGACAGTTGAAAATGTGTGCTAACTCATTCATTCAGTAATTATTTTGTATCTGTTGTATTTTGCTGATCATTTGGGATACAGTGGCAAATAAGATAGCACAGCAGAGAATTTTCAGATTCGTGGGGAAAGGTGCAAGGTGGTACAAGACTGCACAGTAAATAGTAAGTTTTGTTTTGGGAAAACACAAGGATCTTCCTGTCTTTGGTTAGAATCTTGTTGGTTAGAATGCATTTGGCTGCGGAGTAATGGAAAATTGACCAATAGTGGCTTCAACCGCAAGCATTTATTGTTTCCTTAATGAGAAATTCTGAGAATAGTGGTATATGACTGGTTCAGCTTACTGATGTTTTCATGGACCCAGGACCTTCTGGTCTTTCTGCATCCTTAGCTTTTATCTTTTTATTCTCATGTTTATTTCTTGATGGTCTTATCATGGCTGCCACACAACTCCAGGGAGCACTGCAATGCTCTGAGCAGGAAGCAGGGCTTGAGATAAAATATTCTCGGCAAGTTTCTCTTTTTGGGGAATGGGGAGAAAGTTCTCCCTATTGACTGTGCTTCACAGCTCACTGCCTTAATTTGGGCCATATGCCCATCCCTAGAATAATCACTGACAAAGGGAAATGGCAAAGAGGAACTACGGCTTTTTTAGACCAATCATGATTTATCTTTTGGGGTTGGGTTGGGGCTTATCATCCCTGGAATCAAGGGATCTCTGCCAGGGTGTCTACAATGTAAATCAGGTTCTATTAATCAAGAATATCTTTTGGACAGTAGTGAATTGTTTCTGCCACAACCCAGCAGAGAGATTTCTGTAGTAACATATTTGGAGATTTTTTAAATGGCCTTAGAATATAAGACAGCAAAATTTTTATTAATACATATACTCAAAAAATATTTTCATAAAAAAACAGTTGTGTAACATTTCAAACCATTTAGAGTAGATGAATTGAAAGTCTTTGTTAAAAGCGTTGAAACTGATTTACCAGAAACATTATAGAAGGTATTTCTGTGTTTGTTGGGAGGTTGAACTAGATAACTTCATAAGATCCTCTCTCTGTGGTTCTGATCTCAGGGGTCTTCAATCCTTGTATGTAAGTCATGACATCCAGTGGATGTTGTTGATGTCTGTCCTGTGAATCTGTTTTGTGTTTTAGGTGGCATAACTCAGTGTAGTTCTTAAGGATTTTCTTCCTGCTCATACACCATTGAGGGTTCCCTTTTTTCCAAGGGGTCTGTATGTTATCCTACCCCTGGTTAGACACAGAAGATAGATCCAAGACAGGAGCAGATTGAAGAAGGGGATCCCGTAAGGGAATAAAATAAAGTTAAATATTTCTTTAAAAATAATTTATTTTAGAAATAGAGCACATTTATGGGGGTGGGATGGGGAGGGAGAGAGAATCTGAAGCAGACTCTGCGCTGAGCACAGAGCCCAACACAGGGCTCAATCTCATGACCCTGAGATCATGACCTGAGCCGAAACCAAGAGTCAGACACTGAGCCACCCAGGCGCCCCTAAAGTTAAATATTTTTGATCTCCTAGGCTAATTGAAACCCTCACCTAAAGGTTTTATTATTTTTCAACCACAGTCTTTCAGTGCTAAGTGTTCTTCCTATTCTAGCATATAACAAGCTCCCTGTACCCTTCATTTTTCTTCAGGAAAGTTGCAGACATTGGCAGTGCTGTTGCGACAGCTCAAGGCGGAGGGCCACCGGGTGCTCATATTCACCCAGATGACCCGGATGCTGGATGTATTGGAACAGTTTCTCACCTACCATGGCCACCTCTACTTGCGTCTGGATGGGTCTACTAGAGTTGAACAGAGACAGGTAACCACGGGCATCTGCAGCCCTTCAAGGCCCACCTCAGCTGTTATCTCCATTTTCCAGACCTTAGGGTTCCAGAAGGGGCACCACTAAGCCTTCGGTCTGTTTCAGAGGATACATTTCCTAATACTGTCTTTTTTCTTTCTCTCTAGGCTTTGATGGAACGATTCAATGCAGACAAACGCATATTCTGCTTCATCCTTTCAACTCGGAGTGGGGGTGTGGGTGTGAACCTGACAGGAGCAGACACTGTTGTTTTTTATGACAGCGACTGGAATCCCACCATGGATGCTCAGGCCCAGGATCGCTGTCACCGAATTGGCCAGACCCGAGATGTCCACATCTACAGGTATTGCCTAGTGTCCCCTCACCTTGCATCCTCTTTACTGATAGGGTTTTATTAATGTATTTGGCTGTTTACACATGGCCTTCATCACTCCCTAGACTTATCAGTGAACGGACAGTGGAGGAGAACATTCTAAAAAAGGCAAATCAGAAGAGAATGTTGGGAGACATGGCCATTGAGGGAGGCAACTTCACCACAGCCTATTTTAAACAGGTACTGAGATTTCCCAGTCTATGCAGGAGAGAACTGCTATGCCCACAGGAGTTGCTCCTGCTTATTAAAGTGGATGCTGGGGCACCTGGGTGACTCAGTCAGTCAAGCGTCCACTCTTGGTTTCGGCTCAGGCTGTGATTTTGTGGGATTGAGCCCCACATTGGGCTCCACGCTCAGCAAGGAGTCTGCTTGAAAGATTCTCTTCCTGTGCCCCTCCCCTCAAATGTGTGTGCTCTCTCTTTCTAAGATAAATATATCTTTTAAAAAAATAAAGAAGATGCTTTGGTCTCCACAGATCTGCCTATTCAACTAGTGGCAATTTCTGATTATTTCTTTTTTTTTTTTTTAATTTCTGATTATTTCTAAGAGCTATTATCTCCTAGTAGACTGGGGCCCAGCATTCCATGGGCTCTGACACTTCTTCCCGTTCTCTCCAAAGCAGACCATCCGAGAGCTGTTTGATATGCCCCTGGAAGAGCCATCTGGCTCATCCGTACCCTCTGCCCCTGAAGAGGAAGAAGAGACTGTGGCCAGCAAGCAGACCCATATCCTGGAGCAGGTGAAAAAAGAGCAGGCAATCTCTATAGAGTAGAGCTAATAGTTACGGTGTGGGTTTTCCAGGGGGAAAGAATGTTTCTGCTGCTTCTCAGATGACTGTTGGCCTTTAATAGTTGTGAATAGATTGCTTATTCGTTCATAAGATTTCATAGAAGAAAGACAGGATTTGGAATTCTCAGTTACAGGTTTGAATTCTAACAGCACTTCTTACTGTGTTTGTTAAGCAAGTCTGCTTAATCTTCTGAGCCTGGAATCTTACTTTTCACTTTTCTGAACTGCTAATGGGAAGGAAGTAACAGGATGAAATGGAATAGTGGATGTAAGAAGTGCTTTTTATGTGGTGTAACCTCTTGTTTTCCAAACACTGATGGGTGCATAGAATCAGTTGGGGAACCTTTTGGCTTTTTATTTTTTTAAGTAGGCTCCACACCCAATGTGGGGCTTGACGAACTCACAATCTTGAGATTAAGAGTCGCATGCTCTACTGACTGAGCCAGCCAGGTGCCCCTGGAGAGCTTTTTTTAAAGGACTGATTACTGGGACCTGATCTGAGAATCTACTAAATTGTGACTTTGAGGGGCAAAGGCTGGGCATTTGTATTTTTTCAGAAGTAGATGTTAGGCAAATACATAAATAAAATCTTGGGGGGAAAAATAAGTAGATGTTGGGAACTATAGGGTACAGTACCGTGGAGGTGTTTTTCCCTACCAGGTGCCGTCCCCTCATTGTTGAGCACACTCTAGGTTGCATCCCTTGGTGACTTTGGTGTGAGCTTTCTGGATATTAATCACAGGGGGAAATCAGAGGTGGTTAGTCTGTTGTCAAGAGGTATCTCAGTGCAAAAAAAGAATTAGGGATTTTTTATATTTAAGGCTTTCTGGGACTGCTCTTTTGAGGAGATCTAAGACTGACTTGAATGGAAAAGGAAGCAGAACTAGAGGTTTCTAAAACAGTTACTTTCGGGGTGCCTGGGTGGCTCAGTCATTAAGCGTCTGCCTTCGACTCAGGTCATGATGCCAGGGTCCTGGGATCGAGCCCCGCGTCAGGCTCCCTGCTCTGTGGGAGACTTGCTTCTCCCTCTCCCCCTCCCCCTGCTTGTGTTCCCTCTCTCGCTGTGTCTCTCTCTGTCAAATGAATAAATAAAAATCTTCAAAAAAAAAAAAAAAACAAGAAAAAAATAGTTACTTTCACACTGGTGGGCTTCCGAGTGAAATATAGTTCATCCTATGTGGAATACTGCATTGCTTTGATAACTTTGAGGGCTCAGAAGAGAGTTGAGTTCAGTTATATACCTGGTTCAATATAAAAGGGGCCTCAAATTTTTGTCAGAATCAAACCACAGGATGTGGAGTTCTTTAAATCTCCTGGTTATTCTTCCTCATATCTTTGCAGGCACTGTGTCGGGCAGAGGATGAAGAGGATATCCGTGCGGCCACCCAGGCCAAGGCCGAACAGGTGGCTGAACTTGCAGAATTCAATGAGAATGATGGGTTTCCTGCTGGTGAGGGAGAGGAGGCCAGCCGGCCTGGGGCTGAGGATGAAGAGATGTCCCGAGCTGAGCAGGAAATCGCTGCCCTTGTAGAACAGGTCAGTGTTGTACCCAGTAGTTCTCAACTTCACCCTTCACAATTTCTTCCTCTGGACCTTGTGGTCCTCCTTTATCTTCTCTGGTGAAAATAAGGGTGATGGGCCCTGGTTACCAAGTCCCTACTACGTTCATCACCACTGCTCCTTCCCACAGCTGACTCCCATTGAGCGCTATGCCATGAAATTCTTGGAAGCTTCACTGGAGGAGGTGAGCCGAGAGGAGCTCAAGCAGGCAGAAGTGAGTATTTCTAGGGAGTGGGGACAGAAGTGAAAAGTGGCTGCTTTCTACCCACTTCCCACCCTGCTTGCTTCCCTCTGACCACCCACTGTTTGGGCTCTCTTGTTGGTAGGAACAAGTGGAAGCTGCCCGCAAGGACCTGGACCAAGCCAAGGAGGAGGTGTTCCGCCTACCCCAAGAGGAGGAGGAGGGGCCAGGGGCTGGGGATGAGGTTTCCTGTGGGACTGGTGGAGGCAGTCACCGGCGCAGTAAGAAGGCCAAGGCCCCTGAAAGGCCAGGGACTCGCGTCAGTGAGCGTCTTCGTGGAGCCCGGGCTGAGACTCAAGGGGCAAACCACACTCCTGTCACATCCACCCATCATACCCGTAGCACTTCCACACCCCCACGCTGCAGCCCTGCCAGGGAGAGAGTTCCCCGGCCAGCACCTAGGCCTCGACCCACTCCAGCTTCAGCTCCTGCCGTAATTCCTGCCCCAATCCCTGTTCCAATCCCTGCCCCGATCCCCATTTCAGCCCCAAATCCAGTAACCATGCTTCCTGTTCATATCTTGCCTTCTCCCCCACTTCCTCCTTCACAGATTCCTCCCTCTTGTTCTTCTGCCTGTACCCCTCCTCCTGCCTGTACCCCTCCACCAGCTCATACCCCACCTCCCACCCAAACCTCTCTCTCAACTCCTTCCTCCCCTCTCCTGCTTGGTCTACCTTCTGTGCCCATCTCCCCCCCAGTCACCAACCTCCCCTTTGGCTTGGGGCCTGAGACAGAGCTGTGTGCACAAGCATTGGCATCTACCGAGTCCCCGGAGCTGGCTGATATGGCCAGTTCCGAGACTTCCCCGCTTACTCTTGTGCCCCCTAAGGATCTGTTGCCACTTGCTGTTGAGATCCTGCCTATATCAGAGAAGAACCTTTCTCTCGCCTCTTCTGCACCTAGCCCAACCCTGGAGGCTGACAGCGTCCCCAACGGTCAAGAGCAGGAAGTGCCAGAGCCTGCTGAGGGGACCATCCTCACAGTGCTGCCTGATGGTGAGGAGGTGCCCTCGTGTCTGAGTGAGAGCAATGGGCTGGATCTCCCACCTTCAGCATCTGATGAGCTACTTCCGGAGCCATTGGAAGCTGACAAGAGCTCAGAAGAGCTGGTGGAGGCCCAGACCCCAATCTCCAGCCCAGAGAAGACACAGGAACTTGTTTCAGCAGAGGTCGCAGCCCCATCAATCTCATCCTCCGCCACCTCCTCGCCTGAGAGTCCTTCACCTGCCCGGCCCCCTCGGCGTCGCACCAGTGCTGATGTAGAAATTAGGGGTCAGGGGGCTGGTCGGCCAGGGCAGCCTCCAGGCCCCAAAGTGCTCCGCAAGCTGCCAGGACGGCTGGTGACTGTGGTTGAAGAGAAGGAATTGGTGAGGCGACGGCGACAGCAGCGGGGAACTGCCAGCACCCTATTGCCTGGAGTCTCTGAGACTGGTGCCAGCCCGGGAAGCCCATCTGCCCGCAGCATGTCGGGGCCAGAATCCTCACCTCCCACCAGTGGGCCCTGTGAAGCTGCTCCCCCGTCCACACTGCCCACCCCAACTCAGCAGCCCTTCATAGCTCACCGTCGCATTGAGCTGGGGGTGACTGGTGGGGGCAGCCCAGAGAATGGAGAAGGGGCACTGCTTGCCATCACTCCTCCAGCTGTGAAACGTCGGAGGGGGAGGCCCCCCAAGAAGAACAGGTCTCCAGCAGATGCTGGGCGAGGGGTGGATGAGGTACCTTCATCCACCTCTAAGGGAAAAACCAATGGGGCTGACCCAGTCCCTGGGGCTGAGACCCTTATTGTTGCGGAGCCTGTCCTGGGACCCCAGCTTAGTCCTGGGCCCCAGCCTCTTGGACCCCAGCCAATTCACAGACCCGAGCCCATCATCCTCTCACCTGTGGAGAAAAGAAGGCGTGGGCGGCCCCCTAAGGCACGAGATTTGCCCATTCCTGGGACCATTTCCTCTCCAGGGGATGGCAACTTAGAGAGCCGGACACAGCCACTCCCGCTACCACCTCCCCTGCCACCACTCCCACCACTCCTAGCCTGTCCCACTGCTACTGTCGCCAACACTGTCACCAATCTCACCATGTCAACATCCCCACCCAAGCGGAAGCGGGGCCGACCTCCCAAGAATCCACCATCACCTCGGCCCAGCCAGCTGCCTGTCTTGGACCGTGACAGCTCTTCTGTCCTTGAGAGCTGTGGATTGGGGAGGCGGCGGCAACCCCAGGGCCAGGGGGAGAGCGAGGGTAGTTCCTCTGATGAGGACGGAAGCCGCCCCCTCACCCGCCTGGCCCGCTTGCGGCTGGAAGCGGAGGGAATGCGGGGACGAAAGAGTGAAGGGTCCATGGTGGTGGCTGTAATTCAGGATGACCTGGATTTAGCAGATAGCGGGCCAGGCGGGTTAGAATTGACACCTCCCGTGGTCTCGTTAGCTCCAAAACTGCGCTCGACCCGGCTGCGTCCAGGGTCTCTAGTCCCCCCACTAGAGACTGAGAAGGTGCCTCGCAAACGGGCAGGGGCCCCAGTTGGCGGTCCTGGGCTGGCAAAGCGGGGCCGCCTACAGCCCCCAAGTCCCCTGGGACCTGAGGGTTCAGTGGAGGAGTCTGAGGCTGAAGCCTCAGGTGAGGAGGAGGAAGGGGATGGGACCCCACGTCGCCGGCCTGGCCCCCGCCGACTTGGTGGGGCCACCAACCAAGGGGACCAGCGCATCCTGCGCAGCAGTGCCCCTCCCCACCTGGCTGGCCCTACTATTAGTCACAGAGGCCGCAAGGCCAAGACGTGAGTGGGCTGCTCCTCCACCTAGGCTTTCTGCCATGGCCCCTCTTCCTCCACAACCAGGCCTGACTCTGTTAACCACTACTTGAAGTCTTGAGGGGGAAAGCCTCCAGGGAGACATAGGGGCCTTCTCCCTTCTTTCCACCAAAGTAGGGGGTAGGCAACTGGTTGTCATGGAAATGGGGCTCTTCACATACCCCCTTCCCTTCCACCCCACATGGCTGGGCAGTGTTAAGGGTGGTAAGATAGTCTCTGTCCCCACCCCCTTGTACTTGATTCCCCAGCTATCTTTCACAGCCCCCCACCCTTAGGGGAAGGGGGAGGGGCTTCTCTCTACCATGAGTTTTTTTTTTTTTTTCTTTTTTTTTTAAGAAGAAAAAATAATAAACTTAGTTTCTGTATGAGCATCCGCGTAAGGAGGCTTCTGATTTTCTGGTCTGGTGGAGGGTTGGGTGGGAACTTGGGCACCATTTTCCTCTCTTGTTCTTGCCAAAACCCTAGTACCTGATCTCTAACCCAGAATTATGTGTCTTTGAGGCAGAAATCACCCAAGAGGAGGAAGATTTGGCAAATCTGATCTGGTAGGGTGCCTTTCCTTAAAATTTCAGTTTTAAGTCACTCCAACTCATAACTTTTTCTTTCCTCCTATTCCCTTAGTTCCTGGGCTTTCCCTCAGAGCTCTCTGATGCCTCAGACTTTTCCCTGCTTTTACCCCCATTGCTCAGGTGCTTTCACTCCTTTTCCAGAAGGCAGGCATCCTACCTCCAGTTGTTCCTTCCCCTCCACCCCTTTGCTTTCCTCCATCTTGCCAAACTAGTTTGAGTCAGCCACACCCCCTTCTGAGCTCCTGGGGCCTTTTTGGCCACCCAACCCCACCCCTGGGCTTGGCTTGGAGACCTGAGTCAGCTCCATCTCCACCCAAGCCAAATCAAACCTGAGGCAGGAGCCGAAACTCACAGTCCCTCGAGGCCTATAGCCAGGTAAGAGCCCCTGTTCGTTTTTACATTTTCTTTGGTCTCAACTCCCTGGACCCTCTCCTTGCATTCTCCCCCTAATGACTGTATCTATGTTTACCTCATCAGTTCTTTCCTCATACTCTCCTGCAGCCTTGTGGCAGAGATTCTTTGGGCTCTGTTTATCTTGCCTCCTTTCACTCTATCCTTTATTGCTTGTGTTCAGAGAACTGTAAATGGCTCCGTTTTGTGTACGATGTAGGGGGATGGTTGGAGATGAGGGTGGAAAGGTGGTTTGATGCCATGGCTCAGAGGACTTGAGAAGTTAGAGAGATGAGGAATGATTAAGCAGGTTTCTGTGTGGGTTATGAGGTCATAGTGTTAATCTGAATATATTGTGTGGCCTGGGTTAAAATGGAGAGAAGAGGTGGCAGGGAGTCAGCATAGCGAAGGAGGCCCAATTTGGGGAGGTAAGGTTTTTCTGATGTTCAGCTTCCTCAACTATGAAGAGAGCTTAGATGGGTCCTTTCTCCCTCTTTTCCCCCATCCCTGTGTTTTCATCCACTGTTTTCACATGAAGTGGCTGCTCTGCTTGAAGTGGGGTACCAGGGCTTAGGGTGCCATTTTGTGACCCCTCCTTAATCTTCAAGGGCAGCTTCTGAGGGACTTCAGAGAATTTTAAGGCCCTTTGAAATACAGTTTAAAATCACTGATTTGTGTAGTCTTGATTCCTAGCAGCTTTTGAGATTGTGTTTCTCCTGCTTGTCAGTGTGCACCTGTCGTTTTGTTTTTCCCTACTTGTCAAAACAGTTAAGTAATACAGATAATGCTGTGTTGGTGCCGGCTTGCCTTTAAAGACTCAGAATCTTAGGCTGAGAAAAAAGGATTCCGGCCGCACATTTCCGCTCTTTGGTCTCTGAGTCAGGAGGGGAATTCCCCAGTTAAGGCAGCATTCCTGAGAGTTGGGCCAGGTCACGAGGACACATCAGAGAGAGGGGTGGAGTCTGACCCAGCCAGGCCAACGGCTCAGTTGTTGGGCTTACAATTACCTTGACTATCGCCCACAGGTGATGGAGGACGAGGAGAAGGCAGTGGACACCTTGGTGAGCAACATGGGAGCTGCTCATTCTCCATCCCCCATCCGCTGCTGCTGGCTCCGCCTCCGCTACTTGGCAGCTACTAGCATTATCTGTGGCTGCTCTTGCCTGGGAGTCGTGGCCCTTGTGTTTGCCATCAAGGTGAGGAATGCAATGCCTATGGGAGCAGGGGGCGGGTGTAGTTAGGCAATGATCTGTCTACATAGATCGCACAGCTACTAAGTACCTGTCAGCTTGGCTCTGGGCCTGGTGTCAGAAATAAGAATGACATGGTTCCTGCCCTCAAAGGGCCCACAGTCTGATGAAAGAGAGAACTGTGAAAATGGGTAATTAATGGAATGTAGCTCATCAGTATTGTGATGGAGGAAACACAAGGTATTCTGGAAGCTAGGGAGGATATGTATGTGTGATTACATACGTGTGTATGTAGAGTAGGTGACGGGAAAGTAACCTTAAAGGATTAGTGACTAAAGGTTGAAAGGGTATTCCAGGTAAAGGGAGCAGTGTGTACAAAGGCCTGGACTATTAGTTCCGCACGACTGGACCAGTGAGGAATGGTGACAGATGAAGCCAGAGGGTCCAGATTCCTAAGGGCCTCCCAATGCTGTGCTTGAAGTTTAAACTTCACCTTGAAAGTAGTGGGGAGTACTTTCAAGAGTTTTTGCAGAGGAGAGTGACATGGTCAGGTCTGTGTTTCAGGGCCTACCTGGAGGATGGATTGGAAGTGGCAGGACTCGAGGCAGTTGAGCAGTGATTAGAGCAATCTGTAGCAGTCGGGAAGAAGCTGTGGGGTTTTTGAGAGGACTCCACCATTTCCAAACACCGGGATTGCACATGTACCTTTGGAAAGGCCACACAGGCTAACTTAAATAGCATGCTGGAATTTTCTCAACCCTGGTTGTATTTTAACAATCAGAAACTGTATTCTTATCAGCATGAGAATTTCTAGTTTTGTCAGGTCAAAATCTTAAAAAGAATCCTTAATAATCAAAGCGATGAGGCCCATTGGGCTAATGAGAAGGGGGTGTTGTTTGGCTGGACGGGAGGGAAATATTCCAAGATAGCACTCGGTTTCTTGCCAAGGATTCCAAATTCTGAATGAACGTGGGATGAGTAGAAAAGGATGGGGGATAAAAGAATTGAAAAGTACTTTCCCATATGTGATTTTGTGAGCTAACAGTGGCTACTCGGAAAAGTACACAGTGCTGAGTGGGAACCTTACTTTGCAGATGAGGCATGAGAAATAGACATTGGAAAGGGAGGGCAGGGGGGTTGGGTGTCAGGTTTTGAGCCATGACAGGGATGGAGGATTGGTGTGGGGCAGTGGGCACTTTGGGGCAGAAGCAGGGGGAGAACCTAACCAAAAACCTGCCCCCACAGGCGGAAGAGCGGCATAAGGCAGGCCGGTTCGAGGAGGCAGTGCACTGGGGGGCCCGGGCCCGGAACTTCATCCTGGCCAGCTTTGCCGTCTGGCTTGCTGTCCTCATTCTGGGCCCCCTGCTTCTGTGGCTGCTTTCCTACGCCATCGCCCAGGCTGAGTGACCCTGGGTGGCCTCTGCTGAGAGTCAGCGAGACCTCCTGGATCCTGCAGTGCGGCATTGCTAGGGTCTGAGGCCGGCAGTGGTCCTTCCTGGTTGGAAGGATGGTGCCTCTCTCAAAGGTCTTTGGAAGAACTCTTCTAGGCCTTTCTAAAAGGAGGCAGCAGCTGAAACTGTTGAAGGGAGGCCAGCCTGCTCTGTTCTTTCAGTGCCCACCATCCCCTATTTCCCCCAGCCTACTACATCCTAGGGGCCGCGACCAAGAGATGGGGTTGAAGACCAGGCCTGATTTTATTAGAATTTGTTTTGTAATAAAAATCTTTTTTAGTGGTGAAATGTTCCTGTCTAATTGTTGTTCCCCTACTTTCCCCGGGCCCGTGGCAAGAGCCAGACTGGACATCTGACTGATGGCAAAAGTCTGCGTTTTCCCTTACTTAGGAGCTCCAAGAGGATTTTTCTTTTTTCCTTCTCCTGTAAGTTTCCCTTCTTGGAAAGACCCCAGCTTCTCCCTTGCACATCAGCAGAGAGACCCTGCGGCCAGATAGGAAGAGGAGCCGCAGCAGCTACTCTTCATGGAGTGCTTCCTGTGTCCCAGGCTGCGGTCTTAGGCGCTTTCTATTACCTAACTCCTTCAGCCCTCACAGCCACTCAGTAGGAGGTCCCACTGTTTTCATTTTATAGTTGAGGAAGCAGGCGTCCAAGGTCATACAGCTAGTAAGAGGCAGAGCTGACATTGAACCCAGACGCTTTGGTTCCAGAGTTGAGAGAGGAATGAAAGGGTTGGATGGCAGCTGCAGTGAATTTCTGCCCTGGATATGAAGCTCTGTAGGATTATAATGAATTTTCATATCCTTTATCTTGGGCCTCCCGGTAATATTTTAAACATACTTTAAATTGTGAAGTATATCAGATATACAGGAAAATGTCCAAAATGAGAACATAGCTTTTAACAAAGCTAACATCTGAAAACCACCATTCAGTGAAGAAATTGAACATTGACAGCACTCCAAAGCCTCCTTTAGACCTCTCCCAATCACTGCTCCTTCCTTTCTTCACACAGATACCTAGCATTCTGACTTCTAACAATGGAGTTTAGTTTTGCCTGCATTTGAACATTTATATAAATGGAATCCTATGTATTCTTTTTATGTCAGGTTTCTTTTACTTAACATTGTTGGTGAGATTCATCAATATTTGGTGTAGCTGTAGTTGTCATTACTCTGTAGTATTCCATTATATGAATATATTAACAATTCATCCCTTTTCTGTTGGTGGACTTTTGGGATGATTCCATTTTGGGGATATTATGAATCTTGCTGCTATGGACATTCTTGTACATAGCTCTTGGAGTACATGTGCTCTGGGAATTGAATTTTTGGGTTACTTCTCCATAATTCAGAGACAGCAGAGCACCTAAAGGAATTCGAGATATTTGTTGCACTCTGAAGAGAGAAGATTAAAGGGGAAGATGGTTGTCTTCCATGTTCCAAAGTGCCCCAGGAAGGAAAAGTGAAGAGTATCCATTGCTGGTCTCAGAGGTTAGAGTTACAACACTGGTTAGAAGCCACACCTAGGGCATTGGTTCTCAAGCTCAGTTTCACCATAGAACCACTTGGGGAGCTTTAAAAGGTACTTATGGGGGCGCCTGGATGGCTCAGTTGTTAAGCATCTGCCTTTGGCTCAGGTCATGATCCCAGAGTCCTGGGATCGAGCCCCACATCAGGCTCCCTGCTCAGCGGGAAGCCTGTTTCTCCCTCTCCCACTTCCCCTGCTTGTGTTCCCTTTCTCTCTGTCAAATGAAGTCTTTAAAAAAAATAAA